CCCCAAAACCCCAAAACCCCAAAACCCCAGATATATTAGTAGCAGTTGATAATATAATTAATCATAAAATGAACTTACTCAAGTCTCAAGGTAGAGGAGATGTTCACAAGATTGTCTCCATCATGAAGAATAGCATCGAAAACAGACAAGGCAAGCAATGGTCCCTGAATGAGGACCAAACGCTTTGGCTAAAGAATCAAATAGCTAACCAGATAAGAGCATCTTTGAAGAGTAAGAACAACATGACTCCAGGCAAGATTGTCCTGGGCTGCTCTATAAAGTTCACCCCGCAACAGCTCGCCTCAAGACAAGTCTTAGCTAAAGAGACAGTGAAACTTGAAGGAAGCAAGAACCAACAGAAAAATGATACTAATTCTAACAGTGAAGAGTCTAAAAGAACTAAGGTGTTGCACATGAAGTGCAAGAACTTATCGATCAAGGACTGTGACACTGATGATACTAACAAAGACGATATCCCTGACTTGAAATCATTAATCCGAATTCTATCTTCTGACAAGAAGTAAGTAAAATTATAGGTTTTCGAAGAGTTATGCTAAATTTTCACGACAATATTTCACTCATTGCACTCAGTCTGAGGTCAGATATCTTTATTTACGGGTGTATATATGACGAACAACATTGTTTACCCATGATCGCTATTGATTAGTCTCCAGAGGACTTTAAACAGCACCTTCATTAAATTTTGAATCATTCAGAAAAATGAGAATTTGAGTTTGAAAAGATATCTTGAGTGTTAACATAGCCCCTGAAAATTCAGTGTTCTGTGAGCTAAATTGGCGTTAATCTTCAAATTTTACAAGGATATTGGCTAAAACACCTTCTAAAGTTTATCAAGCATTAGCTTCTAATAGTTATGATAAAGTTTGATTGCTTATATTTCTGATATAGAGAGATCAGACCATCAGAAGGCAAGAACGAAGGTAGGCCTCCCGGACAGATGAGAAAAAGAGACTTCAAAAGACTCACTAAACATTTCATCGAATGGCCACAGGAGCTGCAAGATAATAGATTTGAATCTGACAGAGACTCATTCGAACAAATGTTTCAAACGGAGGACTATAATTCAGTGGTCCTTAATTGGTTGTGCTCAAAGCCAGTCTAACTTCCATCTCTTAACCTAACTTCTTACCTACATTTTCAAAGGGAAAGCGAGTCTTTGATCTCGAAGTCTTCTTCTAAAATTTCTAGATATCGGTGAGAAATCAAAGAAACTATTAGAACAAGTTACTACCTTCTTAGTGGAGATTAGTTTGATAAGAACTTTCATGCAGGGAGAGGCCTAAATACCTGTCCTGGCCAGGCATAGAGGGTAGCTCTTAAACTCCTGGTTTGGCTCTAGTCTCTATCTCTGGGAAGAATTTACCCAAGAAAACTTTTGATTATCCTTCTTTAGAATAGAAATCGCTGAATTTATGAGATTCTTAAACCTTCTATCAGTATTTCAACCTTCATTCTGCAATTTGGGGTTTTGGGGTTTTGGGGTTTTGGGGTTTTGGGGTTTTGGG